GGCTAGGCATCTTCGTCGATAGCAACCCAAACAACCGCAATTCTAGTCAACTTCCGCTCTTCAAAATCGTATACCACCAACAGTAGTCACCTTCCATCAATGGCGAAGAAGACACCGGCAAAACGTAAGTTTATGGCTACACTACAACAACATACTTTGTTTTCCCCCCTCCGTTGGTACCTAAAACCCCCTTCAAACATTTTTTTTTCAGGCCGTAATCGAAAGGAAAAAATGGCACAGGCTGAAAACCTATCAACATGTACTACCCTACTTCAACCATCTCACTACTTCAAATTTGTGAAAAAACCGTAGTCATGTATCCAATTTTGGTGTCTGATTGTTGTTTCCATTAGTAGTAATTCATAGTCATATTTGCATATATGGTTACATTCATGCATGCCACAGATTTGTGATTTTTTGTGTATGGGTGTTGTTTTCATGGGTAGTACTTCGTAGTCATATTGTCATATGTGCTCACATTCATGGATGTTGTTTTGTTTGTGCTGTTTTTGTTTGTGGGTGTTGCTGTCACTGGTAGTAATGCATAGTCATATGTAGTCATATGTAGTCACATCCATCCTCTGCTTCAGCATTTGTGCTGTTTCTCTGTGTGGGTGTTGTTTTCATATATAGTCACATCCATCCTTTGCTGAAGCAATTGTGCTGTTTTTTGTTGTTGTGAGTGTTGTTGTCATGGCTAGTTCTGGATAGTCATATTCATATGTGTAGTCACATAGATACTTCAGCTTTTGTGTGTTTTTCCTGAGTCTGGGTGTTGTTGTCATGGGTAGTACTACATAGTCATATTTGCATATGTAGTCACATTCATTCTTACTACATCCTGCTTACTACCTCATGTGTGTTTTGTGTGTGAGTGTTGTTTTCAAGAATACTTATTAGCAGTCATGTTCACACCCTAACATATATATAAACATCTTTATGCAGGTACTGAAACAAATGAACAAATAGACAGACATCAGAAGGGAAAATGGACACAATACCGAGCCAACATGCGATCAATCGTGACCTTCTTCGAAGATATACACCTACGAGCACCTCACTATGCATGTCTTCGCCGTACCCCATTCTACCATCTCGTTCTACCGTTCGCAAAACACAAACTTAGCAGAGATGAAGTCGCAGGCACACAGAATGGAACTTTCAAAATAATGACGTCATACAGCAGAATAGAAAGGGCATTCCATATAGGAGGCAAAAATATTACAATCACACCACAAGATTGCAAGTTAATCTTTGGCATCCAATCTGGCAACACACGGATGACTTTTGACTGGTCAAAGAAGCCGCAACAAGGACTCGCAGTACGAAGATTCGCCGCACACCCATCGCTCCACCAAAAAACTTTGAAACACCGGCTTCTGCAATGCATAGATAGCGATGACGATGAAGACATTGAAGATGTGGTCAGATTAATAATCCTACACCTTATGTCAACCGTCCTTTTCAACACTTCAGCTGAAATCGTAGCTTGGTGGATGTTCAAGTACTGCGACGATATCGACCAAACAAATGACTTCAACTGGGCCAGGGGGATAACGGATTTATTGGTTAAGCAAATCCACACATCAAACAAACATGACAAAGTCCGTGGTTGCATACCACTTGTGCTGGTAAGTATGAATAGTCACTTATAGTCACTTGCAGTCATGTACATTCACTTATAGTCACTTGCAGTCATGTACATTCATTTATAGTCACTTGCAGTCATGTACAGTCACTTATAGTCACTTGCAGTCATGTACAGTCACTTATAGTCACTTGCAGTCATGTACAGTCACTTATAGTCACTTGCAGTCATGTACAGTCACTTATAGTCACTTGCAGTCATGTACATTCACAAATGTGACTAATTGTTTATGTTTATTTACGCAGTATTGGATGTGTGAGCGTGTAGCAATCGTGCCTCCGCTGGCTGATTTTGCTTTTCCAAGATTTCGGAGGTGGGATATATCCGAGCTTGCATCTACATTGAGCAGCAAAGACATGAACGATATCGATCCACAACTCGTCAACGAGAATCTGCTGATCCCAACAGAGCAAGAACAACAAATCTTAGATGGAAACTTGGTCCTGGACGATATCAGCAATGATGCAAACGATGAACATAACAACGATAACAACAGCAATGCTAGTGTTCATTCTGCCACTCCTTCTGATTCTGACGAGAATGTCCCAATCAAAAACTGGTGCAAAAAGCGGCAGTCGTCAGATGAAGTCAAGATCACAACTGAGCTGAATGAAACAAAGAGGCTGTTGGAGGTAGAAGCAAAACAAAGGGCAGAACAGGAGGCCCAAGTGTCGAAACTGCAAGCTGTCGTAGAAGAACTTCAAATGGAGATAGTCATGTTAAAAAACGACAAGCAGGTACTTGTTGACGAAAAGGCACATGTCGCTCTTCAACTTGCAAAACTACAGGACGAGGTAGCGCTTAGCAATGATGATGGGCCATCTTTCAATATCTTGAGCCAAACACAGCCGAACCAGAGTGAGCTGCAACAAAAAATCAAAGAGAATGCAGAACTGAAGGCAGAGAATGAATCCCTCATCAAACGTCTTGAAGAGTTGACAAATGCTACAACAACTGTACAACCCGAAAAACCTTTTTCGCTGACACAAGAGTTTGAAGCAGAAAATATCTCACTCACAAACATGCCTGAGCACACAGCAACCCAAATCTTCTTGGAAGCTGAAATCACCCTCCTAAAATCAGCTGAGAAAACTCATCTTGATAAAATTAGAGAAAGGAATGAAAAGATAGCTGAGTTGGAAGCTAATTGTGCAGAATATGCAAAGGCACTTGATGAGCGCCCACCAATACATTCGGACAGCGACTTTGAGATATGTGACGAAGATATCGAGGCCAAGCTGAAGGACCCAAAATTTGCAGTGGGAAAGCGTACAAGGTCAAAAAAACATGAAGTCACACCACGTAGCACCAAGAAAGCACGTAGGGATTTCAGATACAAAAAATACAACCCATTCATCGGCATGAGTGCGAGAGACAAGGCGATAATAAACACAATGGCAGATGAAATAGTGCATGGGAAGTAAGTAAACTCTAACTACAGTCATATATCCAGTCATCTATATGAAATATTATACTACTTCATACAGTCATATATAGTCATATAACTATATGACTATTAGTGACTAGTTCTATATGACTATTCATATATGTAGTCAAGAGTAGTCATATAGTCATATGACTACCCATGACTGCACAATCACATGTCTTATTCATACTTCAAAAAATGTTTATAAATGAGTAGAACAGTGTGGAAGAATCCAGATGGCAATATTCATGTTCGGATGGCTGACATCTTTATCATCCTCAGAAAGGGAGCTATTTCGGGCGAGGTAAAAACAAATTTAATAACACTGTACAACCTATCCTGCTCACGTTATGTACACAAATTTAATAACACTGTACAATCACAGGTTATAGATGCTTACTGCGAGATATTGGGACATCAGCAAGCTGCAGGGTTGTTTGAAGGTAGCGCTTATGAGTCTCTTAAAGGAACAAGCATGACGTTCACCAGCATGCTACTGGTACAAAGTCGATAATATATTTGTAATTGTTTTTTTAGAAAAGAAGTATATGTTTTCCCGTGGTAACTAATCAGTAGTTCTAACAGACATCGTTGAGGCAGTCCAAAAATAAAACATTCCGCATACCAGCAGAAGTTAGCAAACATAGATACCTCATCTTCCCATTACACTCCGACGGTAATCCTCAAACCGGGGCTAACCACTGGACACTGTTAATATTGGACAGAAATTCAAATGAGTGGCGTTTCTACAACTCATTACATCCTCGCAAAGGTCTTAAGGACCCATACCTGATTGACGCCACCGACATGGTAAACAACTACTGACAATTTATTTCCACAACTACTTATTTAATAAACAAATATCTAATTCATTCATGTACACAGAAAATGTATGTCGAAAACACAGCTAGGGAGTTTAACATCTCCGCCATTCCCATAAACGCACCGCTGCACGAGGTAAATGACTCACCCCAACAAGCAGATGATTCAAGGGATTGTGGTATTTTTGTCCTGTTTGTTATAAGGAACACATTCCGCCAAATTCCACTGGTTACCAACGACGCTGAGACCGGTGTCGATTGCATGAGGAGGTACGTTGTTGAATCATTGCTCCACTACAAGATTAATTAGACAATTATTATTCCTATTAATTGAAGCTTTTATTTCTGTAAAACTTTTTGCACCAAGACAGAATCTTATGTAGTTGTACTTTTATATGACTATTTTGTAGTACTTTTGTATGACTATTTTTGCAGTACTTAAAATATCTTTTCTTATGGCTATTATATGCGTTACCATTCTTCAAAAATGTTATTTTGTAGTACTTTTGTATGACACCACTACATACATCTACGAATACTACATAAAGTCATATAAAGTCAGATTACAATGTGACTATATATGACTACATGTGACTACATAGTCACATATAGTCACATTGTCTTATGACTATCGTTGACTACTTGTTTATGATCTACATATTTTGGTCAGCTAACAATATCACTATTTGTGACTATGTAGTCACCTATAGTCACATAGTCGTGTGACTATCTGTGACTACGTATCACCTATATTCACAAAGTCGTATGACTATCAATGACTACTTATTAATAATTTATATTTTTAGGTCAGATGACAATATGACTACCTGTGACTACATAGTCACCTATAGTCACATAGTCATATGACTATTTAAGACCCCGTAGTTGTAAAATACTCATATGACTAAAGTGACTGCAGGTGTTAGAATCCAAACATAGAAAACTGTACTTACATGTATCAGTAATAGCGAAATTCATTACTCGAAAAAACAGATCATGTACTTGGAAACTCAAGAAAAAAATTCACAACCTATGTTCCACACAAATTCAAGGCGGTATAAAAAGAAAAAAAGAAATTGAAATACATTTCTGTTCCACTCAAATCTCATACAGGCCTCCTGCACGTTTTCTTGTTGTGATTGCCCATACGGTTGCATGAGCTGCATTTTATCTTCCTCTTAACCTTCTCACCTCTCGAAGGAACTCTCTTCACCTTCGGCCTGCCACGCCGAATATGATAATCTGGAGGTCCAACCAAAGGAAAATCACCATCAAAATCTGGCTTGACAAATGGATAAATACTGTGCGAATACGTGGTTTTATAACACTCAACCGTGTAATAGTAGTCAACATATGCATAACCATCATTATTGTTATGGAACAGAACACACGCAACATGTATACATGGCAGACCGTTGACTTGCCACGCTCTACACGTGCACGACCTGTTGCGAATGTCAACAACAGCTGTTGGAGTACTAAGCACCTCGTAAATGTACTCCGATGCCCTCTTTGTTGTCAAAACTCTACTGTCATGTACTAGTTTATTAACAGCACCCTGAATGGGAGTGCAAAGTACAGTTGACATAACCGCAGCCTCCTCTGCCCTTACACACATTTCCACCATCATAATACTCCTAACACCATCAACCACATCTGTTATAGGCAGGCCACGAATGCCGCCAATCTTCATATTCCACGATTCTGCAACACTAGATGCCATCTGCCCATATCTATTCCCCTCAAAATGTGCACAAGTCCAGTTGTTATACGGAAGGTCTGCTAGAAAATTTCTAATCCTTGTACCTCCAGTTTATATAAACTCCTTTATATGCACATCAAACTCAGATTTCGTAGGAGCGTAGGCACAAGCATTAAACAAATGAGCCATCTTCTTTCGAAAACCAGATGGACAACCTCTACATTTACTTGACAAATTTAATTGCAAGTGATACAAGCAGTATATATGAAGACAATCAGGGAATATATTTTTCACCCCATCCAAAATACCGTGATTGCGATCCGAGAAAAACGTCACCACACGATCCGTGCCAATGCAAACCCTCAAATGAGTAAGAATGTAAGCCCAATTGCTATCAGATTCTTCACTAACTATGCCAAATGCAACTGGGTACAATTCTGTGTAAAAAAAGGAAACAACAACAGCCTTAGTAATATATAGTCATATATAGTCATATATAGTCATAAATCACATTAAAAGGTACCGAAACTTACTATTATGACCATCTTGCCCAATTGCAGTTAACAAAATGCCCTTGTGTTTGTTGTGCAGAAATGTTCGATCCAGGGAGAGTGACGGTCGACATGACTTAAAACCCGACAAGCATGCACCAAAAGCAAAAAAACAACGTCGAAACTTCATCGTATCTGCATCGAGTCAAGATTGTAAACGCTATCCGGATTGGTACGACCAAGTTCTTCGAAGTACGACGGTAAGTGTGAGTATGAACTAGTATCATCACCAAAAACATGTTGCTTCCCTGCCGTGACAGACCTCCAAGCCACATAATAGCTAATGTCGACTCCATAATTCAGCTTCATATCCACAACAACATCATTAGCAACCATGTCTGGCTTCGCTCGTACCAAATTAAGTATCATACTAGCAATAATGTCAGACGTCATTCTATTCTGCCTTGACGACCCAAAAAAAGATGCACAAGTGTGATGCTTCTCAAATTTATTTATATAAAAATAACCATTGGCCTTCTCAACTGATGCGTGTATCCTCCACATACATTTCTTTACTGTCCTATGTCTGCATTCAGCTGTGACACGTACACGCTCATTCTTAACGTATGTAAACTCAAATCCAGTTTCCACCTAATACATGCATAAAGTTTTCCTAAACTCCACAGCACCTCCACGAAAAACTTGACCAACATCCTTGATCAAATCAGCCCAGTTAGCACTCATCAACTGAGTTTGACCACGCATTCCAGCATTTTGCAAGTGATTGATTCCACTACCTTGACCAAATTCGAACGCAACCTCATCATGCAGCTGTGCCCGATTAGACAAACATGATACACTTGATACCACATCAGGAACAACTCCCTCTCTTTGTTTAACACTCACTTCAACACGATCAAGAGACATATCGCGCGCTAATGACAGCATGTAAAACACATCGTCATCATCACACAACACACCCTCCCCATGACCAACAACCGTATACGTGAGAGACATGGTGTTCTGGTGCAACGAGCCCCATTTGGCCCTTACGTATCCAACCAACTCTTGAAATCCAAAGGAAGTAACACATTTTCTCACACCAAATAATTCTCCAAACCTCATTATTAGTACAATATTTGTAGACATTCTGGCCCTGTAAACAAAAAGTACTGTATATGACTACTGTAACATATATTTAACTATCCTAACATGCAACAGATCTATGATGCTAAACATGACTACTCTTGTGTATACCAATACAAATCAAAAACTATACACAAACAAATTCAAAAAAGCAATTCTGTATATGACTAAACATGACTACTCTGGTATAAATCAAATACAAATTTCTGAAAAAATCAAAACGACACAATTCTGTATATGCAACAGGTCTACGATGCTAAACATGACTACTATGGTATATATAATTACAAATCTCTAAAAAAAATCAAAAAACAATATAATATCGAAATGCATCAACACAAACACAATTGACCAATAAAAACCCCAAACTGTACAAAAACACAGGAAAACGCAAAATCACAATTGAAAAATCAACGAACACCCAGCCGCGCATCATGATCATAAACAAAAACGAGCCATGAAATCTCTGTAAAAAAAATTTCAAAAACGAACCTTAAGGAAGCGATTGAAATGGAGAAAGTTGAACCTCGATCGCAACTCACGCTAAAACACCCAAAAATCCGAAACCCTACCCAATCGTATAAGGAAGCGATTGAGATGGAGAAAGCGAGAGAGAGAAATCACCGTGAGAAACAAAGGCCGAGAGAGGGAGAAAAATAAGCTGCTTCCTTCTATACCGTTAGGAAATATCCTTGCCCAGTAAAACAGAAAATAAGGGTAAAATAGTCATATCCAATGTCCTCAGGGGGGTCTACCTAATTAAGTTCAGAATTTGAGCTTTTGCCTTAGAGAGAAAAAAACATTGGGCCTTCTCATATATATTTTGAAAAGTAGGGGGTTATCCCACATTTCCCCTAGTATTTTACCCAACAACCACATAAAAGCGATCAAGTTATGACAGTTTTGGCAGCGGTCACGTCCGAACTCAAATTAATGATTTGCAAAGTGAACTTAAAATGTAAAAATGTTAATTTTTGTACGATTTCAAGATGAAAAAGGAAAATTAAATATTAATATATATTGAAGATGATGCACGCGAATTGCTTCACACATATCATGCCATCCACATGAATTTGTCCATTATATGGTAATTTGTGCTCATAATAATTAATAACTCATTGACTCGTGATTTACTTCAAAAGAGCTCGAAATTCATCAACTCATATTTATTTAAAATTGCTTGTAATCATGCATCAACAGGAAGAAAGCACCTCAGACCAGCCACCAAACACTTCTCAGGGATCTACAGGCACTACTGACTGAATTTCAGGATGTTGTCATCAAATTCGGCTACAGGGAAATAAACAGCGTAGCGGACGTATTAGCAAAAAGAGGAGCGGAGCTAAACCTCAATGAAGTGTTTTTCTATGATGAATGTCCCCCGTTTCTTACTAGTTATATATATGCAGATAAAACATCAAACTTTAATAGATGTACTACCCGTGCTTTGTAACTGCATCTTTGTTTAAATTTGTAATGTAGTTCGGTTTTATGAGTTCAAAAAAAAAATTGCTTGTAATCCGACAGCTCATCCTTCTTCACAATATTATATCTTAAAAAAATTGGTGAAGAGAAAAAAGTCAAAGAAGTGGGCAATCCAAATTAAACTATTTAATATATGTATGAATATAATATAGGCATAGGTGGTCAAAAATAAGGTAAGGGGTGGGGCCGAGAGTTGTCTAGCATGCGCTGTGCAACGGGGCTCCTGTTACCATGCTTTGTCTTCAACTCTATTGCCCCCACTCAACTCACACAATCCTCTTTCAATTCAACTTCTATTATATTATATTTTATGAACTACCACATTCTTTTGTTTCACCAAATGGAACCCTAGTTTGATTTCTACAGCAATTTGATTTACGAGTTCGTATATACCCGCTAAAGATGAATTTCTTTTAAAAATGATATGTAATCTATAAGAAAAATCGATCGATTCAATAACACGATAGATCTGTTAAGACCAATTCGTACCAACTTACAATAGCGGAACCAATATAGGGTCAAAGGGGGACATTTCTTAAATTTCTATTAATTTATTATAGAAATATATATTTTCTTAATAAAATAACATTAACGTCCCCATAATTTTTTTAAATGCATTCGCCCCCCTCGAACCTAAAGTCCTGGCTCCATCACTGCCAACTTATGATAATTTTTATTTCCCTTCAATAAGGCGGTTTCATGCAAATAATAACGAAACGAGGAATTTCATTTGAAAACCAATCCGACCCCCACTAATATGCCTATTGAATATCTTATTTTGATAGACCAAAATACCCTAAGAGGGTAAATGTAATTTTTTTATTTATGAGGGGTTCAATTATACCTTTTAGTATACAAATTTGAAACTCCTTTCGCAGCTAATTGCTCTTTGATTGTAGGTTTATCATGTCGATTGTAGGATTTATCATACAAGAAGGGTTCAGTTATAATAATTTTAGAAAATATAAAATGTAAATAACAATAGTTTTAATGTAATATATTATTATCATTATATCAAATGTAAACTGGGATGTGGGTCAATCATCTCCAATTTCCTCACATAACCTAGTGTGTGGTCATATGCCTTTCCATAAGCTTTTCGTTACGTTTTGAATCCATCTATCCAGTAGCCACAGTGGTCACCGCGCGCAGTCGCAGCATTTTTTGGATAGGAAAGAAGTGTTATTTGAGAGATATATTTCCAAAAGCAATTTGAACAATACATTAGGACACAAAAAGAAGTTGATGCAAGAACTTTAAGACAATATTGGCCGGTATATGTGTTTATATTCTTCGCTAATTGTCCCCAAGAACATTATACCATTAAGAATAAAGATGCTTAAACTCTCTTCAAATTGACATTTTTATTTCAAGTATTTTGTTTATTTTTTCATTTTTCAATTAATATAGGCATTTTTGACAGCAAGTATTTTTTGTTAGAGTTTTTCACGATCATTTATTTTAAGGGTGGCAGATGTAATTTTATAGAATAATTAGGAGTTTTTGGTAATATGAAATTACCTTGGGGGTACTCTACTACAACTATTAATTTTCTTAATACGTTTCTGCCGAAATAACTGTTGAACGTGACCCAAGCTTTGGTCCAATTCAACATAAAAAAATTGGAAAATTTGCTGAAAAAATCAGGTGAGGTGTCAAAAAAATGGGTTGAAAACCTGTTAAAATTGAACTGATTGGATGTTGGATAATTAATAAATTGTAGGAGTCTTTAGATCGTTATTTTACAAAATAAATTCTTTTATAATTATTTATAGGGTAAATAGCAAAAAGGCCCATCACATGGGACTTAAATGCATTTTGTTCAAAAAAAAAAATCTCTCAATTAAGCCCATCCCCATGTCTTTAGTCTAAAATACCCTCAATAATATAATTCTTATCAATTCCACCCATTATACTCTAACTTCCTTAATATTACACATTGACCCCTAATTTAAACAAATATATCACATTAACCCGAAGAACTTTTTTTTTTTCAGAAAATAATTTTTTTTCTGAAATGTTTTTTTTTCGGCCAGATTCCGGCGTTGACTTTTTTTTTTTTGGAATTGTTTTTCTTAGAAAAAAAATATTTTAATCAATATTAATGTCTTGGCTACTAAATTACTGTCTCAGACAGTAATATTACTGTTTGGGACAGTAATATTATGAATATTATTTTTCCGAACAATAATATTATTAATATTATTGTCTAAGACAGTTAAATTACTGTTGGAGACAGTAATTTAACATCCAAGGCAGTAATATTAATTGAAATAATTTTTTTTAAGGAAAAAAAAGTCAATTTACGGTTAAGTTACTGTCTATGACAGTTAAATAACTGCCAGAGACAGTAATTTAGCAACGAATACAGAATATTAATTAAATTTTTTTTTTTAAGAATAAAAAAGTCAATTAACAGTTAAATTACTGTCTCCGACAGTTAAATAACTGTTGGAGACAGTAATTTAGCAACGAATGCAGTAATATTAATTAAAATATTTTTGAAGAAAACAAAAATAAAATAAAAGAGTCAATTAACAGTTAAATTACTGTATCCGACAGTTAAATAACTGCCGAAGACAGTAATTTAGCAACCAAGACAGTAATATTAATTAAAATATTTTTTTTAAGAAAAAACAAAATTATTATAAAAAAAAAGTCAACGCCGGACAAAAATTTCAGGAAAAAAAAATTTCAAAAAAAAAATAAAAATAAAAATAAAAGTCAATTGTTTATAAAAGAAAAAGAATTGAGAATTGATTGTTTAGCAGAGGAGAGGGAAATTTACATCGGAGATTACTAACTAGGGTTTGCGACTTGTCGGGTATTTTTAATTTAATTTTTTTTTCAGTTGGCCGTAATTTGATACCGATCCAGATTTATTTTGTTTTGACTGGTTTTGGGGTTGCAGGATTTGCAGGTTTTAAGATGGATAATTTTGAGATTCCAAAGGACAAAGACGACACAAAGAAAAGAAATAGAGATCACGATGATGATGATGATGATGATGATGATGATGGTGGGAGAATTGATGAAGAGACGACTCGACGACGGCGACGACGACTGAAACGGGGGTCGAGGTGGGATGAAACTCCGACTCCAACTCCAACTCCGCCCCCGACTTCGTTTCTGACTCAAACTCCGTATATGTATATGCCTACTCCAGAGGATAAAGCAATGAGGACATCGAGTTGGGATGATGGCACTATGTATGAAAAACATAGTGCCAATTCTTCATGCTGGGTTTGCCAATTCTTGGCTTTGTCACCAAACCAACAACATTAATTCATTCTTCTCTTATTACTGTTTCTAGATTCATATGCTAAAACCTATTTATTTACTTTTCTTTTTTCTTTCATGTCATCGATCTTTTCGATTATAAAAATTAAATTATGGGCACCAAATTAATTAAACCACTTTTTTTGTTTTAATCTCAATGTTTGCACCTATCATCATAATTCCACTATATCATAATCAAGGTAGATATTCTAGTCAAATATCGGCTTCTTCTTACATTTAACAAACTAAACTCAGATGCTACCTTTTACATCGCACTGCATATTTTCCTCCTCTCTCTCCCTCTCTCTCTCTCTCTCATACGGACCAAATTGTCCTCATGGGGTTTCCTAATCATTTATTGGGCCGTAAATTGAGTTTTGACTTGTATTTGGCCAAAAATCATATCAGGCCCAAGAAGAGTAGTTAGGGCAAATGTGCTTATTTCTTACCCATCAAGTATCCTCACATATAAATAGGGAGTTATTCTCAACTTATCACGGCTATGCTATCTCTTACATATCACACTCAATTCGTCTCGACCATTGTGGAGCAAATCAAGTGGCGCTGTCTGTGGGAATTGAATCTCGAGCTAAGACGTGAGATGATTTGAATTTTTGGATCTTCTCCATGAGGTTGGAGATAATGAGCCGCATGATTGAGGAAGAACGGTTCGTTGTATTTCTTGGGGGAGTTTTTTAACGGGAAACCAAGAAAGGGGCTCAAATCTTGTGCTTGAAATCCAGATCTGATTAGAATCTTTGAAGAACAAAAAAAAAAAAAAAAAAAAGATCGCCGCTCTTCATTCTTATCCATGGCGGTTATTGCAATTCTCTCGAGCTAGGGTTTATCCTTCCCCCAAATACATACATACATACTTACATAATTTTTTTTTTCAACCAAGCGCAAATCCCCAGAAATGAAATCCGCCAAGCAAAAAACCCCCAAAATGGAGGTAGAATTCTTAAAAAAATCTGCCATCGGAAATCGTAATCGAGATTCTATCAAGGCTTCCTCTTCGAATAATCGGAATCCGCAGACGCGTTCGTAAGTCATGGCGAGATCTGATCCAAACTCCCGATTTCGCCAATTCTTATCTTCCTAGATCTGTCTCGGGTCTGGTTACCTGAACTTCGACAGCTACCAAGTTTTCACATTTGAAGATGAACTCGATCTCGAAGATCCCTATCGTAACTACGATATACTAACCACATTCGATTGTAGTGGATTGGGCCTTAGCATCTGCGATTTAAGAGGTTCCGTTAACGGCTTGCTTTTCATGCACCCGTTGAGCTCTATATCTTCTGAGCATTACATTCGCAATCCAATCACTCGCGAGTATATCGGAGTTTCCGTACGAGCAGAGGCTGCTCGACGAAGAGTTTAACGGAACGGTCAATTATGGATTTGGGGTGAGCAAAGTGAGTGGTCAGTATAAGGTGGTTAGGGTTGTTCATGTTAGGAAATCTATTTGCCACGTGTACACTCTCGGAACAGGGAAATGGAGACGAATTGACTGTGGTGCCCAATTGGGAAGAAACAATTATTCGAACGGGGTGTTTATTAATGGGTGCCTTCACTGGTTTTTACAAGATTGAAGATTACGAGAGCTATCATTTGATTTCTTGCTTCGATCTCGAGACGGAAACCTTCCGTACGTTTCTCAACCGCCTATTCCGATGTGGAGACGGCATTCTCAGAACCTAGTAGCTTTGGGGACTGCTTGTATATATGCGACAATGCAGACGACGAAATTGATTTTTGGGTTATGAAGGAATACGGAAATGAGAAATCTTGGACAAAGCAATTTGTTATTCGAAGAGGTTACGGACATTGTTTCGGTGAACAACCACGTGGGATCGTTCATCCTATCAAACTTTTCAAAGACGGTCACGTGTTGATGACATGGCAGCAAGATTCGAGCTGATTCTACGATATGTTCTACTACTCCAACAGAACTAAAACTACTCGGGGAAACATGTCTGGATAGAATATCCGATCTAGAGACAACCGTATCGACTACTGATGTCGAAGCACAATCCTTAAAAAGCGAACTCGATAAATTAGCTCTCGAAAAAGACTCAGCTCTCGATCAGTACATGCAGTCGTTGGGGACCATTTCGAAGCTTGAGAACAATCTAGAAGTTTCTAAAGAAGACGCCACGAGGTTGAAAGAGAAAGCTGAAAAGGCAGAGGGCGAAATCGAAATTCTCCGACTAACCGTCTCGAAAATGACCGAGGTAAAGGAAGCTGCGGCTCCGCAGTACAAACAGTGCTTGGAGACGATTTCTAGCCTGGAGGAAAAATGTGTCGTGTTGGAGAGGGAAAATCAGTCTTTTCATTCGGAGATGGAATCTTTGACGTTGAAGATGGGGAATCAATCACACTAGATCACCGAGAAGCAGAAGGAATTGGGGAGGCTTTGGGCTTGCATGCAAGAAGAACGATTGCGCTTCGTCGAGACTGAAACTGCTTTTCAAACTCTGCAGCATTTGCATGCACAAACTCAAGAGGAATTGCGGGCCATGGGCTCGGAGTTGCAGAACCGGGCCCACCTAATGAAGGTCTTTGAGTCCAGAAATCAGAGTTTACAAGACGAGGTTCGAAAGTATGAAGAGGAGAATAAGCACCTTAATGAGCTCATAGAAGCGGATGCGGACTCATTCGCAAGGCGGGCCGAAATGTACTACAAGAAACGGCCCGAGTTGATGAAGTTTGTGGAGGAGTTCTACCGAGCTTACCGTGCACTAGCAAAAAGGTACAGCCACGCCACGGGTGAACTTCGCCAAGCCCATCGAACCATATCGGAGGCATTTCCCGAACAAGTACCTTTCGAACTCGGTGATGACTCGCCTTCGAAAACTGAGCCTCTCACACTAGAAATAAAAAGACGCGTGCATGCATTGTTCGATGCTGACGAATAGCTTCAAGATTCCGATACAGGGTTGAAAAAAAAGGGGTTTGAAGCAATCGCGCGAAATGCTTCAAAGTTCAAATTTTTCCGACAAAGGAAAAAACGGGAGTAATGAAGTCTTTTATGTTCTTGTTTTGGGAATTCATGGATGTTGCACCCTCAATTCATAAGGATTGGCACTATTGCAATTTCGAGATAAGGTGGAGTTTGATCCATTTGGAGCGTTAGCGAATTGGAATCGATGCAATTGTAATCCGTGTATGTGGTCGGGTGTTCATATATCGTCTCGATGGTAAAGTGCATATTAAAGTTCTTGATCTATCCAAGTCGAAAAACCATACAGAAAACGAACTACCCCCATGGTTGCTGACGTGGAAACAAATGTACACAGTTTCGGAATGTTGCTGCTCGAAATAATCTCCGAAAAGCTCTCTTACTCTGAAGAGAAAGGGCATATCATGAACTGGGCTGGTCAGTACTTGAACAACAAGAAGAGTTACAGCTCTTTGACGGATCCGACATTGAAATCGTTTAAAAAAAAACAAATAATAACGAGCTCGAAGTAGTGTGCGAAATAATCCAAATGTGCATCGAGAGCAAGATCATCCGAGAAGAAGACCCTCAATGAAGGAAGTAATTCAGGAGTTACAACAGTTGGAGTCAAAGGGCGTCGAAATCGAGACGCAGAAAATACACTTGGAGCAAGAGTCGAAACTCATGGCTGAGAAGCTTAGTGTTGTCGAACACAGAAAAATGAACTTGTGGAAATAAATGGGAAATTGAAGTCGGATGCGAGTGAAGGTCGTGAAGAAGCTGCTGTACTCAAGGCTGCAGTCGGGAGTCTTTGTGTCAAACAAGCTGATTTGCAGAAGGCGTATAATGCATTACAGACAGTTTACTCGAAAGTGAATCAAGAAAATACGTATTTGTTGAAGGAGTTTTCGGATCTGAAAGATGAGAAATACGAGTTAGATTGGTATAACGAGGATGCAATTCTTGAATTTTTATCATCTGCTAATGTATCTGAAGTCTTGAGGAGTTTCGGGAAAGAGAAAATCGAAGAAGTGAAATTACTTCTCGCAGATCTGAACCGACAAAATGAGGTCAATGTTAGCCTCGAAAAGGAAATAAGTGTGTTGATAGGGAAGCTTGAGTTGCAAAAGGCGGAAAATTTAGCCCTGAAAGATGCCGTTTTTAGCTCGGAAACCGAGATGGATGTGGTCAAAGAATGCAACGTTCGAATGAACCAGGATGTAATAAATGGTAGAGAAAGTTTGCTTCAAACACAAGCAAAGCTCTTCGATGCAGAAACAAGAGCTCCGTGAAACGGAGGGCGCGGTAGTGTCCTCCGTTTGAGCTGCAAAATAAAATAAATAAGAGCAGTGATCTGGGGAATCGAGCCGCATCAGTTTTCGGTGAATTACAACATTCCATGGTGAGTCAGCTGCTTTACGAGCAGAAGTATAACGAGCTCCGCAATGAGTGTCTATCGGTCGAAATGAAGGCCTCAAAAGTCAACTCGCTGCATATGGACCCGAGATTGCATCGTTGAAGGAATGTATATCGTCCCTCGAGAACCACACCGATATACACATCAAGTTTCAAAATCCCGAAAACAAGTAATTTCGGGGTGCGATTTTCGGAGTTATCCCCTCGGCGGGATTGCTGAAAACTTACTTTATCCAGGGAGCTATCGTTCACATTGCTCGCACTCCTATGCCAATTCTCCCACAACTCCGAGCCAGATTTCGCCGGATCAAACGTTGTCATCTCGGTGCTCTCTAACCGAATCTCGACGACCCAATGCCCGTCAAGGATTTTTCGAGGCTTGTAGTTCTCTCATATCTAGCACTGGTCCTATGAAGCTCGCATCTCCACCTAGAATACGAATCTATGAAAGCTCGAACTTCTCCTAATATCCTTGCGAGGTAAGTTCTCTTTTAAATGATGTGCCTATATCTCCATGGCAATAACTCTTTTCATGAAACTTGAAATTCTCCATCACCTGGATAGAATATATTAACACAATACCAACTAATGGATTGGTAGAAAAATGTGGCATAGATGTTGCTTGAATTTATGTCAGACATATAGTTAGTTGTGTATGTGTGAAGCAAGGGACAATGAGTCAAATAAACAAAAGTGAAAAGCCCTTGAGCTCCGTTAAATTCGATTTTCGAAGAATACGAGTTGTTAAAATGGGTTGATCATTTAGCAACACCAAGACGCTTTGCGCGAGATAAGTAAACCCGAAGCGCTTTGCGCGTGAAAACTGAGGCGTTAAATCGCGTATTACACCGAGGCGTTAAATCGCGTATTACACTGAGGCGTTAAATCGCGTATTACACTGAGGCGTTAAATCGCGTATCACACCGAGGCGTTAAATCGCGTATCACACCGAGGCGTTAAATCGCGTATTACACTGAGGCGTTAAATCGCGTATTACACTGAGGTGTTAAATTGCGTATCACACCGAGGCGTTAAATCGCGTATTACACTGAGGCGTTAAATCGCGTATCACACCGAGGCGTTAAATCGCGTATTACACTGAGGCGTTAAATCGCGTATTGCACCGAGGCGCTAAATCGCGTACTAAAATAAGGCGTTAAATCGCGTTGAAAAACGAGGCGTTAAATCGCGCAAAAACGAGGCATTAAATCGCACAAAATGAGTTGTTATAATAGGCAAGAATAGCCTATCAAATCGAGTATGTAAATCACGAGAGACATTCAAGCCAATACGGCGAGATAAACGCACGAGTCATACAACCAGAGAAAAAAAAAAAAAAAAAACGATGTAAGGTGAAATGACAACACGTGAATAATACTCCTAGTCTAAACACAACCTCTAGACTTCGGTGTAGGGGGAAGTAGTTGATACGGACCAAATTGTCCTCATGGGGTTTCCTAATCATTTATTGGGCCGTAAATTGAGTTTTCACTTGTATTTGGCCCAAAATCATATCAGGCCCAAGAAGAGTAGTTAGGGCAAATGTGCTTATTTCTTACCCATCAAGTATCCTCATCTATAAATAGGGAGTTATTCTCAACTTATCACGGCTATGCTATCTCTTACATATCACACTCAATTATCTCTAAAAAAAAAAACTGACTTGATCGTTGGAGCTTCTACGCCGGGAAACCCCTCCCGGCGTTGCAGGTACCCCTCTGGCGGAATCCCCGACGAGCTATCATCCAAAATATCTTCCAAGGATCCTACGTCATCGTTTCGACCATTGTGGAGCAAATCACTCTCTCTCTCTCTCTCTCACACACACACAGACACACACACACTCTCTCTCTCTCACACACACACACACTCTCTCTCTCATATGCGCAAAAGTATTAATTAGGATTGAACAGTTTATACCAACGTATATATATATGGCCTCTGGGGATGTTGAATTTGCAAAGTGGATGGGTGGCGTTGATACGAAGCCAACTAGTTTATGCATTAATATATATATATATATATATATATATATATATATATATATATATATATATATATATATATACACACACACACACGAACAAGCTCGGATGTGGACTAAATTGGCCTAAATTCAGCAAAAGCCCACTAAATGCAGTAATATTTTAAATAATATTACTGCATTCGTTGCTAAATTACTGTCTCCAGCAGTTAAATAACTGGCGGAGACATTAATTTAGCAACGAATATAATAATATTAATTAAAAATATTTTTTTTAAGAATAAAAAAGTCAATTAACAGTTAAATTACTGTCTCCGACAGTTAAATAACTGCCGGAGACAGTAATTTAGCAACCAAGACAGTAATATTAATTAAAATATTTTTTTTAAGAAAAAACAAAATTATAAAAAAAAAAAAAAGAAGTCAACGCCGGAGACCCGGCGGTCAACGGCAGTTGACCGGCCGGACAAAAATTTCAGGAATTTTTTTTTTCAAAAAAAAAAAAAAAAAAGTCAACGTCGGTCAACGGCGGTCTCCGGTGGTGGCGGGTCAAAATTGGGGTCAAAATTGAAATTAGGGTTAAAATTGGTTAATTGATGAAATTGTGCTAAATTGGGGTGTAAATCATGAAATTGAAGTTAAATTGGGTTTCAATGAATTGGGGGTAATTTAAGTATATATAAAAGGATTTTCCTTATTTGCAAATAACTTTGAATGAGCTGGATTTATTTGAAAGACAAAAAAGTTGGATGTCCTATTTGCCATTACCCCTTATTTATAAATGGTTAGTAAAAGAAAAAAAAAAAAAAAGAAAATTGGTTGAACCGATCGATTTGAACCACACTCAGTTCAACCAATCCAACCGTAACTCAGTTCTGAATTATTTTGTACTGTTCGTTCGATTTAAATATTGGCTGAAATTCTAAATGACATTTGATTTTGAAAAAGAGTGAATACTATATTTTAGGAATGGTTACTTCATTCTCCATCTTCGATGTCATCTGAACTGAACTGAACTCAACTTTTCATAGATTATATATTATACCGGACCAATCACGTTTGATCAATCAACACATTGGCACAATTGTTCAAACAAACAATAGTGCCAAAAGACACGTGCCTTTTTCGTCTCAACATTCTGATTGTATAGATTTGCACAATAATCTAGGGCTGGGCAAAAATTACCAAATACCGATTACCACGGTATATCTACCACAAATTACCGAATAAATACCCAACTATCGGTTACCACTACATTTGGTAAGGTATCGGTACCGTACCATTGCCTTACGGTACGGTAGCGGTATTGTATCTTCAATACCATGGTAATACCGTACCGTACCGCAACATTGTATTTTTAAAATTAGTTAATATATTCAACAAATATTCAACTTTATACTTTATATTCAACTTTAGATAAAAAAAAATATAGTCAACAAATATTATAAAGAAAATAAAAAACAAGAATAACGATATGATACATCATATATATATTATATATACATAATTATAATTTTCTTTATTATCTTCATATATTTATGCAAACTCAATATTAGCTATCGTTAAAGTTGTTTATGTCACGTACTTCTTTAGTTTCAAA